TGCCATCACTAAGCATGTGATAATTGTTATGACAGATCTTGACTCAACCAATGACATTTAAAGTTTAGGCATCGTGCATAAAATACTTGTTAGTATAACCTGTGCTCCGGCTATGCTGCAAATCTGGTGAAACTATAAAATATTTGGTTAAAATAAGCACAAGAACAGTGGATTGCATGAACGCATGTAAACAGTGATGTTACAGTTTCACATACTTCACAAAACTATTATAACTATTATATAAAAGAAAGCTATATTGTAGTTCTGCTTTATGACTTTAGTATCCTCACGTTCATTGAATTCCCTGCGAGTAATTGGATAGAATCGTAAAAAATGTTTTACTGAGCGAAAATATAAATCATCCGAACTCGACAGAATTCATACAAAAGAACATGACAGGACACAATGGCCAATCTATTGAAACACTCTTTATTTCAATCAAATAACAATCAGTGTTTAAAGATAAATTTATCGGGTGGCGCCTTTACTGGAAAGGTATCTAAGTCCGTATTTGCCTCTTGAATAATCTTGTCCGAAACCGAAAAAAAAAAGCATTATATACTAATAACAGCAATTCCTTTCTTTTCAAGATGCAGACGCTACCCATGTAATGACGGTCTCTCACTTCATCATAAGGAATGATATGTTCTTGGAGCGTCACTTTATATGCCAATGGAAAATAAATCTATCTATAATGAACAAGGATAGTGGTTCATAATAGGGATCGCGAAGAAATACATAAAACCTTAATAGAACGTTCGGGTAAAAAGCGCCTTAAACGGTAAAGACTTAGTTCCAACAAAACTTTAAAACTTTTACTATTGACTGCTAAGACTGTACACATATAAAAATGCACAAAAAGCACACATGTTAGACTTACAAAGAAAAAAATCCGCTCAAAACGGCCCGATTGTAATTCTTATTATTGTTATTCTTGTTCTCTTGCCAGCCTACGACAAAAACAGCACCCAAACCTTCTGTAGAATACTACATAAGGTACTATAAAGGTCGTAGGGTATTGAATAGTTGATTTGATTTTTCTATATTTTACATAAGCTAAAAAACATCATAATTCTAGTGTAAATGATTTTAGCTTTCTTACAAATATCTGTTGTTCCTTTAAAAAGCTTAAGTATAGGGTGAAACAAGAATTACCAGCCAATAATAAATGAACATGTGATGACTGTAACATGTAGATACTCAATGCTTTGCATACTATACAATCTTTGTCTTGAGGGAGCCAATCCCTATATTATGTGTGAAGGAATAAAAAAGTCAATACACATAATATATTTTATTACATACATTTGTAAAATAATTACTTTAAAAGACTCGAAGGTTTATTTAAAGCGGTCTTTTAGATGTATATGTTTTATTTGAAATGGCTGCTTTTCTACTGGCAATTTTTTTCACGCTTAGTGACAGTTGTGTCTTAGTCTAGGTATATATTTGCCTATGCTATATATTATATAGAGCTAATTTAGTTACACAGAAACTATAAATGCTCACTATATTCTCAAACAAATCTCCATGACAATCTCCAACTGTAGCTTAACATTTTACATCTCTAGCTATTGAGATCAAATAGCCAACAGCTACAGTAAATAATCATGAATCGTATCAGCTGACTATTAGCTATGTTTAGTTATCATTACAATGTATAGTAAAATTAGCTACCATATCAAGTACTCCTTTACAAAAAGCCAGCAAACAAGATACATAAAGAATTGGGAATTTAAAACCTGCAAATGAAGATCATGAAAAGAGTAAGGAAACAAGGCTGGAGATATTGTAGACATTATTTACTCAAACTACAAATCCCTATTTTGACTTCACCAAACGTAATTCTAGGTAACATCATGGAGCTAAAAGAGAGATTTGTAGGTTGAGTAAATAATGTCTACAGTATATTCAGTCTTGTTTGCTTACTTTTTTACGATCCCTATTTGCAGGTTTTTAAATTCCCAAAATGTATTTATCGTGTTTCTATAAAGTTTGTTCGACGTTAAAGCAATCTGTTCATAAGAAAGTACACGTGATACTCTAATTCAATGGTCTAGTTCTATGGGTAGTCAGGACGAGAAGAACTGACATTCTATATTAAGACTTTATATACAATTTGCAGCGAAATTTTGAAAATATTTACATTAACTAATGGGTAGGAAAGACGTAGTATGCCTGCACACCAACTAACTATGGCAACCTTGTTGCTAAGTTATTGGCAAAATTATTTTTATGTGAAAAAGAAGTTGCCAGTACATCTGAGGTACAGACAATATGAATTTATATCAGCAAAGAAAGCTCAAAACATTACTGATGAAATTCAACGACGTGTTTATTGGATCAGATGGTTGGCTGGGAAGAACAAATATCACCCAGCATCATATATCTACTGGAGATGTGTATTCTATGAAGCAGCCACCACAAAAGCTTCTTTGAAGCACCAAGAATATAGCCAGCACTGAGATGCCAAAGAATGCCTATTCAATGCCATGATTGATTGTGGGAAAAAAGAGAAGGTATGGGAAATTATGTATGGACTTCAAATGGGTGAACACGTTAAAGCACGTTAATGCATATTAATTTCACATAAACAGATGAATGTGTAAAGATATTGGAAGAATCCTATTTGTTTATTTCACAAGACATTTTTACTGTTTACTGGCAACATGGGTTATTGAGGGTTAAGTATATTATATATTAAAACGATTTTAATATGCAAATCAACAAGTCATGTGACAACCACAGCCAATATAAAGTCGCGGTGGAACAGCATGTATCAAAACTACATTTTGACATTTTTGTCATTTCTTAGGCAGTATGATGCTACTGACATTTGTTACTTTTGGGGAGGGTATACAACAGCCCTTTCTAATGCAAAATATTCTCACATTCAAATCATAAAAATGCGTCCAGATCAGGAATTTAGAGCTTTTAAGAGGGTGATATCCATTGTACATAGTGGCATTGGAACATAATGAAAATGTATCAACTTTGGGGAAGCAGGACTATCCAGAAAAAGACCTACAGAAAGTCATATCCCAAAAGGGGTAAACAAAGTGCAGCATCTTATAATGTGTGAACATCCACAAACTCAAAGGTCAGTGGCAAAAGGCATACATGTGCCCCAAGGAAAACCTCACAACATAACTAAGAAGGATTTCCATCTGCAAACGGTGCCAACATGGTATAGGTTTACGAAGATAAGGTTCCCAGCCATTCCACTTCAATTGTAGCATACCTCAAACAGCTAGAGAATGATATGGGTATCTAAACTATTCCATACAACATACCAGGCGAGTTGCCAGATGCAGTGCCTATGGAATTCTGGTTGATTAGACTGTTAAAAAAGGTACTTGGAAACTATGATACTTGTACACTAGATGGATCGTGGAATACTTGCAGGGAACAATGGTGTGCCTTTCACGAGACAACCTTAAGATGGGGCCTTTTACAATGAGAACTATGCTACAGAGTTGTTGTCAAGATGCATGGGTATCAGCATGATTATACGTAGTGACATGGATTGTAATGACGTTTGAGGTTCCAAAATTGTTTTAATACTATGTACTCAACCTTTGTAGATATATTACTTTTTGTTATTCATGTCTATCTAGCTTTTATTATTAACAAAGTTATATGATTAAATGCTATGTATGTATGAAGAAATTTATAGATAATTTTTACTTTGTTATGTTACTGACTTTCATTATTAAAGCTTTAATTCATTATAAGTTATGTTGTGTATTGTGTGTTTGAGTTTCATTGTAAACCGATTAGCATATTTACTTTTTTCCTTGTTTTTATAATATTGTTTTTCGTGATTAGTGATTAAAACTTTTCTAAGTTTCAGGAGAAAATTTATATTACTGTATAAATATATATCTGATTCCAAAATACTATGCTATGCTCTTATACCTTTTTTATGAAAAGATTCCAAAATCGTTCACAGTGTCCCTATGCTCATGTATTTCTTTCATAAATTGATTCTGAAATATTATACAAATTCACCATACTCATGTACTTCTTTTATGAATTGATCCCAAAACACCGTACAGTGTTACTATGCTCATGCACTTCTTTTATGAACTGATCCCAAAATACCGTACAGTGTTACTATGCTCATGTATTTCTTTTATGAACTGATCCAAAAATACCGTACAGTGTCACTATGATCATGTACTTCTTTAATGAATTGATCCCAAAATACCTTACAGTGTCACTATGATCATGTACTTCTTTAATGAATTGATCCCAAAATATCGTGCAGTATCACTGTGATCATGTACTTCCTTAATGAATTGATGCCAAAATACCGTTAATAGTAATTTATGTGTTTAAAGGATTTTTTATATTGTTAACTATCTGAAGTACCCATCAACTGACGGGGAATGTTTAAACTTAATTAAAACAATGTAAGTTTAACAGCAATCACATAATTCAAAGTAATAACTTGAACATAAACTTTATCTCATAATTTTTAATATTATAACAAAGCTTCTTCATAAACAACATTTGCAGTTTGCTTTCCATCAACCAACAAATAAACCCTTGAACACCCTACATAAAATTGACCATGAAAAAAGTATAATTGTTTGAGAAACGATCCAGCAATTTTCATACTTTGACCTTGAGCTTTGTTAATTGACATTGCAAAGGAAATTCTCACTGGAAACTTGAGCTTTATAAATTCAAATGAAAAATTGCTTGGTATTATTGAAATCCTGGGTATGAACAAATCTTGATTTTGGAACTTACTATTGGAAATAGTGGCCTCAATTACATGATGCATTAATGTCTTTATAACCAAGCGTGTACCATTGCAAATCTTTGGAGACTCAAGATTTCTTAGTAACATTATTGGTGCACCAATTTTCAACTTCAATATATGACTGGCCATTCCTATAGGTTCTAAAGAATTCTGTAGGATAATTCACAACTTCATTTGGATCTAGTACTGTATCCACTGATTTGTAGATTTTTTCTTCTCCTGGTATTTCCTAAAGTAGTTTGCAGATAATTTCATTGACTACATCATTTCTTGGTACAAGTATGGCCCTTTTACTTAACCAAGAGCTATTTCTGTAATTTTCACCAAGGCTGGGAAATACGACTTCTGCTAATTCATCCACATTTGAAAACAATTTTCCACACATACTTGGTATGACAATATTGCTACTGTGTGGTTCTATAGGAATTTTGCCAGCACCTATTTTGAGAAGGAGTTTTGCAAGTTCTCCAGGTTCTGAATTTCCTGTGAGATGAACTCTCATATTTCTTTTCAAGTAGATTTTATGGACATTATTCCATAAGAAAGAAATCTTAACACTTGCATTGACTTCATCAGCTCTGGTACCTCTTGGAACGACTGAGAGTACCATTGTAACACTACCAAATATGTAATAATTTAGCCTGATATTCTGGAGAGTTTTGTTCAGACCTTCAAAAGCATGTTTGTGTGACATGGTGCATTCGTCCCATATAATCACGTTGCATTCTTGCAAAACTTTTACTGTGTCAGTACCTCTTTTTATGCTACAAACTGCTTTATCTGCATGATTGACACTCTGTGGCAGTTTGAATGCTGAATGGGCTGTTCTTCCTCCTTCCAATAATGTAGCTGCAATGCTTGATGAAGCAACAGTAAGAGCAATACTTGCTTTTGATCTCATTTTAGCCAAGATCAAATTGATCAGAAATGTTTTTCCACTACTACCTGGTACATATAAAAATACCATTTCACCTTTCATGAGGCTTGTCTTTTCAAGAATGTTTCTATAAACAATTTACTGGTTCTCTGTAAGTTTAGATTCATTCTGAGCAATGTAAGTTAGTAAGTCATTTTTGTTGTAGAAAACATATCTCAAGTATTCTTTGACGATAGAAGTAACTACAGTTCTTTCAGAAGATGGAAGATCAAAATTTTTTCAACATTTCCCACTAAGAGACACGATCTTATCTTCAATCAGGATAAGTGCTTCATTAAAGATGTTTTTATCATAATGCAGATTTAGTTCCAGAGAGTCTCTGGAACAATATATCTTCAGCAAAACTTTCTTTGTGATTTTCCTACAACTGTAATGGATTGGACACTGCACATGTTTGTAGCATGATTGCAAACAAATCTCTGAATTGATTTGATGAATGTGTTGCTGCTGCCTCCTCCAAAGCTCTATTCCAATGGGCATACTTTTCTAACAAACCTCTAATGTTACGTGCATCTCTGAAACTATCACAGATTTCACCATTCACTGTTCTTAAATCTTCAAAAAAGATGGGACAATGAACTATAAGTAAGAGCATTCTTAAGCAGAAGTATTCAAAATTGTATATTGTGAACTTTTCCGATAGCTCCACTGTATATTATACTTGGAAATCCATCAATGACTAGATCTTGAATGCATCTTTTCCATTTTTCTATGTTGATTATTCCAAGTGTAATAATTGGGTACTTGAAGATAAAGTAAAGTTTTCGCACACTTCAAAAAAGCAGTAAGAGTTTTTTTTGGTGGCTGCTGAAGTCTTTGGTGAAGATTTTCCTCACTGTAAAAGACTCATTTCCATTTTCCATTGCCCATTTTCTATATGTACTTGTAAATGGATAACTGGTGGATGGGGCTCATGAAATGGAAATTTCAAAAATTCTCCAAACAGCCTCCTTAGTGCTAATGTATCTACCCATCTGAAAGGAGGAAACCTCATCTCTCTCACTTTTTTCTCTTTTGATATCAAATACTGCCATGTCATAACCTTTGTTCACATATTTACAGACATACTTAATGCTTTTGATTTAGTTGCATGCTTCAACAATGGTGTGGGCATTGAAAATTCTGGATAAATATGGATTGTGAGGCACAATCCAGCTGTTATCAACGCCTACTTCATCAGTGTATTAAATCCAACATCGTCTTACTTTCTTCCCCTATATAGAGGATATTCATCTAGATCAGATTTTGTTTCTTGTATGAAATCTCCTTGAAATTTTTTAAATATTTCCCGTCTTTCATCATGATGAGTTTCTACTGAACTGACCACATGGTCCATGTATCGTGTGCTTTTTTAACAATCTCAAAAAGAACAAGGTCCAGTGTAGGGTTTGGTAGTTTAGCACATATAATATCATCAATTTGGTTTGATCTTAGCTTATTTTGGAGCCACAGAGAATGTGGGCATGTGATAGGCCTCGCTTTTGCCATTCAATCGTGTACATATGACATTGAGTTTTACCAAAAATGTATTTCTTTGCTAATAATTTCATGCGTATCATTACTTTCACTCGAAATACACTTGTAATTAGATCGTAAAGGTCTTGAGACTTTTGACTTTGCATCAATTCTCTTTCGATTTCTATCCATTTTGGCTTACATGTGAATGTTATGAAGTGGTCTGGCCTACCATACTTTCTTACATAGCACATTGCATCTTGTGTACGTTCATGCATGTATCTTGGTCCTCCTGTTAAACTTGAAAACAAGATGACCATTTGACCAGCATCACTGGCATCTTCATCATTCCTCACTGCATCCTTGAAATTAATGTACCTCCTCAGCTTTCAGTTTCTGTTTCTTCTGGTTGTTTCTGAATAAGAGCCCTTTACTTTCAATTTTGCCATACATGTCAACCGCAAATTGAAAAAAAAAAAGAGTTCTTTTGCAAACAAAATTGTATTGAACTCATTCTGTCTGTGCATAAATCTAAAGGAATAAAAATCCATTGCAGACACTTTCTTGTTTGGAATTAGTTGACCTGATGTTGGATTTCTTTGAGAAGTAGAGAGGTTGTATGCATTTTCACCTTTCCAAAAAATCAAATGTCATAGGCTCTGTTGGTTTCAGCTACTCTCTTCAATATATTGTTTCTCTGTTCTAGAACAATATATCTTTCCCAAATTATTGACCAACCAGGAGAATAATCATCTCATCAGCAAATGGGGCATTGAAACGACCTTTGTGGAGTTTTATCAGCATGGATAACTACCTTGTACTCTTCAGAAGTTAATTTTTTTATAGCTGATTTGAAATTTTGAACACAAGAGTTATGGAGATGCCAGGTATCTTGAAGATCAAGAACTAACTATATTTAGCTTTATTCCAGGATTATTTTTGCTCTCTTTGATTTGCTTGTTCTATTCTATTTTTCACGAAATAAATCTGTATAAATTAAGGTGGTTCATTTGATAGAGACTGTAGTGCATCAATGTTGTGATAAACTTGACCTTGAACTTTAAAGGTAGAATATAACCTTGTTCTCTAATAACATTAGGAGTGCCAAAAGAAGTAATCTGAAAGCAGCTGTTATACTTTTTAATGTTTTTAAGGAAATGCTTAGAGTCTTCAATGTTTCCTTTGAGCAAAGTCTTGGGTGGCTCGGGAGATTCTGATAAACTTTTCCTCCTGAACAACAGATTGATAAAGCTTCATTTTTCCATTTTCTTGTATAACAATGTTCACACTCCTCAGTCATACTACCAATATTATAAAGTTGAATGGACTCATAATTTTCTGTTGGATCATAACTGAAACCTGCCATTTGAAATTAATGTATGTTTTTATTCTGTTCAAACATTTTAAAGGATTCTCTTTCTGTCTTGTCTTGCAATCTAGTAGCTCTTTCATTTTCATTTTCTTGTGCTCTTTTTCCAGCAATTCTTCTTCTCCCATAATCAAGTCTGCTTCTCTCTCTTCCTCTGTTTCCTGTTGAAGCCTATCATTATGTCTCTGTCTACTGCTTCTAATCTGAATTGACTTTCATACTCTGTATCATTTTGTCTTCTTTCTGCATCTCTATCTGTGCTTGAAAGACTCTTTGATCTTACCTTTTGGAGCATTTTTGAAAGTGTAATTAATCCAAACTAAACATATAAATAAAACAGTAATTTTTGTACGTCAAATTCAATTACTTAAAAAATTTCTCACCTTTTACATTCCATTAATCAAAATAAAAGCTGACAGTGTTACTTGTCAAAAGAACAAGTTCATGATAAAATCGCAAAAAGATCAATTTTGAAAGGAAATTTATCAAAAACTTCTTATTTCTAAGCCGATTTTGATGATTGGAAAACCAAAGTAGAGGTTTTCAGTAGTGGAAAATCCTATGTCAGTGTTATATTGTTACAATTCTGTTCAGTAATCAACCCAAAGGACAAACAGTGCTCTAACTATGTTCTTCCCAAGCAAGCAAATTAGTTCCTGGTCAAAATAGGGTTAAATCCATTTAAATCTATTTAGAATATTCAACATTGTCCACATCGTCAACCTGTCAATATTGTTTGAGATTGACTCAATAGGCTGGGAGTAACTAACCAACAGCCGTTAAAAAATTACCCCAGTACAAATAGTGTTAAGTTCAATTCTGACCCCCTCAGGACATTCCCCATAGTTCATAATGTTTGCATGCACATTTTGTTGAGATTGGGCCAATAGGCTCGGAGGAGTTAGGGTGCAAACAAACAAACATGTCTATAGATTATGTGTCGCTTTAGTTAACTGTTTGTGCGTTAGTGAAGGTCATTTGGCATGCTTGTAAGCCTCGTGTATACATAATGGTAGAGTGTATTCCATATTGTGAATTTCGTGCTGTTCCACAACATCAGTGTCCAGTCTAACCAAAGATATATTTCACTGAAAATAGATGGGTTACATTCTAATTGAAACATTTAAATTTAAAATGAAGTCAGCTTGAAAACAGGTCTAAAATATATGGAAAAGGATTGTGGTAAACAGGTATTACATATCTTACTCTCTTATAGTTTCCGTATTTAATTTAGTAACAACATTTTAAAATTGTCTTATAATTCTAGTATGGAGCATGATAAGTTATTTCTAAGTCTAGTTTTGAATTAGCCTTAGGTCTTATTCTTGACTACAGGATCCAGTCAAGAACAATATGTACTATCTCATGAGCTCTATTCTGACTAATGTCGTCCCATACTGAGGCTATTTTACGATTATTACACGAGATAGAAAATTACTCCAAAAGTTCCTTCTGCGATTCATCAAAAGCATTGAGGGAATGTGAATTGTCAAATTATTTTGACACTTTTAAAGTTGGAACTAGCTTTGTAAGTAATTTTGTTTTTCTCTTATAAGTATAAAAATACTGCCAATTATGTGTTTCTTGTTTAACTCTAAGTTAAACTATTAATTAAATCTAGTTTTATTTCTTTTTTAGAATACAACATTTTAATTCGACTACAATCGTTTGTTTAAGTAATTATTTTCGCCTCCACCAACGCCATCTTGTTAATAAAAGGATTCCATGTTCTTCACCTGAGGTTGTTTGTCTCATTTAATTAACTGGCGACAAATTGCTACAGTCGTCCTTCTACATAATAAATCCAAAAGTGTTTTATTGTTATAATGACCAGGCAGCAGTGTGCTTAATATATTGAGTCTTAGAATAATAAGACAGAAACTTACTTTAACTTTTTTATCTTTTTCATTCTTTTAATAGCATATAATAATAATTTTTAACTTGGGTTTTAATACACAGTCTTGGCCAAAATGTTTGCACACTACTCTATATTGATGTTATTGTCTATATGTATGGAGTAGTTAATGAGTAAATGCCCGAGTAGTAACAAAGAAGGTAGCGTATGATTGGACAAACATGTGCGAGTTGTTATTCTAGTCTGTATAAGTTGTTTTGAGCATTTGTTCATCAAAACACATATACACACCTGTTTTGTATAATAGGGTGTGCTTTTGGTATAATCTTTTTCGAAACTGATTCGAGAACT